TTTAATTATGAGTACATCTATAGCATGTAGGATAGGGCCGGATAGTCTCCTTGTTCTAGTGTTAAGTTGAAGCATTTACAAGAGTGACTTGCAGCTCTGGGGATGACCGTCATGTGGTATGACGACACAAGTTCAGCCTGTTCTCACACCAAATTATAATGTCTCATGGGCTGCGTAAGCCTGAAAGTAGTTGTAAGGCCGAACGGCTGCAGTTAAAAGGGGATAAACCGTTGCTGTCTGGTGGAGATGGACATAAAAATCTCTTCATATTGCACCTCCGTAGGAAATGAAGGTAGTCACAGCAATAGGCGATTGACAACAATACTTATTTTGTATGTAAATAATTTTCGAAACTAATTACTTGATGAAAAAAAACTAACTTATTTAGTACACTCTGTTGAATATAAGTAAGGTCATCGCTTGTAATAAGAAAACCATCAATAGTCTCATCATAAATGTAATTTCTGGGGGCCATAGCCTGCCTCAAAATTCGCATCTTCTACTTTTGCATTTGCTCTAGGTTCCGCGTGAACGTGACCTTCTATGATGACAAACGAATGCTTGACCTGAGCAACTACATCCTCAGTCCGGAGTGGAGCATTCTCAGCTCAAAGGCCATCTTTAAAGAGACTTACTATCCCTGTTGCCCAGAACCGTATCCGGACATCTCATTCTACATCCTCATCGAGCGACAGTCGAAATTCTACAGCTACATCCTCATTTTGCCATGTTTTTTACTGTCCTGGCTCACACTAGTCCTCTTCTGGCTGCCCCCAGAAACACCGGCTAAAATGGTTCTGGGTAGGTAGAGCAAATTTATTTCTTTATTTTTGGTTGCCAGTGCATAGTTCACATAAGAAGGTACATCTGGAGTCGAACTCGAGTTGAGTACCTCATTAAAATAGGCATCCGTCCTCTAACAAAAGTTCACGAAGTCTTGATTAAAAATTCCTAATATACTGTCGAGAAAGCGAGTTAGACTGAATTTTTTTCCCTAAGCGACTAACATCCATTTTAAATAACGTGAATAGAATCTATGTTTTGATAGATTTCCTAATCTATCAACCTCGGGACAACTTTCTTTTCCTTCATTTACACCAAACTGAAGCCATGCTCAACAGATTCTTGCCTATGTCCACATGAACACCAACACACACTTACACACCACGAAAATTACTTCAGCATACGTTTCTGCTCAACTATACACACACATATATATAAATATATATATACGCACACACACATGCGCACAAATACACACAAATAGATTAATAAAGTCTTTCAACATACTTTTTAGTTTATTTGGAGGTAGCCCTAGTCCTGGAGATCTGGAGTTTGCCCAAGATTGCCCTAAGAAGATGTTTAAGCCTATCGAAGAATGAGGCACCGTAGAATGCAAAAAACAAATCTGCTAAGAACAAGAAAACTCGATGGTGTTTTTCCGGTGGGTTCGAGCCCTTAACACCTTTAACTTGCACTTTGAGGTGAAATAAAATAGCTAAGTCAGTCAGTAATATCGCTTATTTTTAGAATTTAGACTACCTAACTGGTTCCGCGAAAATATGCTATTAACTAAGTTTGAGTACAATCCGCCTTATATCATATAGTTTGAGCTCGGAATGCCTACAGAATTTGAAGATGCTTGAATCAGTCATTGAATTAGGGTTGAGCTTAATTGGGAAAAGATTTGGTCTCGTTCTATGCAAATTACAAGTTTAGCTGATATCAGACTCCATCAACTACACCAAAGCAGTATCCAGGCTCAGAAAATTTAGATCCAGAGGCAAGCAAACAGCTTGAGTTGCCGAGTCCTGTTCTCAAGTTTACCACACACGCTACTGATATACTACTGCGTAACCATTACTCTCATTTTTCTATATTCGCATGAGGCTAGGGCATCCCTGAGAAGTTTCAGGCAGCCGAGATTGATTAGCCATAGTTATTAATGGCAAATAATCATACAACGGTCTTCTAGGTAGATGTGGAAAGTTTCCATGTATAAGGGAAATTTTCCCACGAACTACAAGAATATCTAGTAATTTATTTAGTAACTCTTTTATCGTGACGATTGTCTGCACCTTACTGAAACAAGATGAGCTGGTGAGAGTGTAAGTTAGCCTATAGGTTTATTATTAATGATGGCAGAATGAAGAAGCAAACGTACCCGAGATTGAGGAGGTTGGATACTAAATTCTGCTAAGTGAGATTACTCCCCAACCCAAATTATGCAAGGCCTATGGCGATGCGACCAAATCATTAGGACAGAAAACACCTAAGCCGAAAATACAGACTAAAGTCCTGTGGATGAGACGAGTCGAGTGTTGCCTACACTTTTGCCTAAGTTACCTTGAGAAGGAGCTTAATTCTGCCCAAGTCGTTTAGAGTAATGAAGGACTGATTGGAAATTTTCCCATAAGGAAAAGATAAGGCTTCCTCATGCCAAGGAAATTTACTCAACCTTACTTCCAAAAAATTAATCTCATCATCGTAAGGCATAATGTTCTCGTTTTAGGAAAATTAACTATCAGTACTTCAATATTCCGATTTCATGATTCCAGTGATTTATGCAGAGTCCTTATTGTCTCCGATTTCATAATTCCTACTTTGACCTCATATGCATGGTTAAGAAAGAAGTTAATAAGAAATCCCATATTTGTGGGTTTCCCATACACGTCTATACCTAACTTATAACCTTCTTTACCCACTCTGACATCTAAAAGTGGTGGCTTATTCTCGTTTTTTAACTTCCTAGTAAATTTTATAATCAACTCATTGACTCGAATAATTTTTATGGTCGTTTTTCGTTTATAAGTAGAGTTTCGAGACCACCAGTAAATCAGTTATATGAGATGTATTTGCGCTATTTCGTTTACGATGATGAAGAACTGGTAGTTGAATTTTACCCCAATGCTATTATTAGAGCTAACGCCTCTATCGAATTTCACATAGCCTTACTTTACCAACTTTGGTTCCATCGGGGTCGAACGGCAATGTGCTAAGGACCTATCCGCCTAAATATACCACCACGGCTCCAAGACAATCCTCCTACAGCTTCTGGTGATGCCAACTCATGATTCCTTTCCACTCGCCTGTTCAAAGGAAATTGAAGCTACTCCAACATCAAAGTATGTACTGTCTGCGATTGAATATTTTTCAACTTTGTACCCATAACATCAAAACGTACAAGTACATCGCCATTTTCTATCGGCTGTTCATTTATTTACTACTTAAAGTCGTAAGTTTTCCTTATTGAAAAGATCTGTCTAAACTTATTGCACATAAATTGTGCTGTTGTATGCATCACACTACCTCTATTATTTATAATAATCCTAAGCTGGGCACATTCCTTCTGAGTTTTCGAGATAAATTAGTTTATTTTCTATTTCTCCAGTTCTCTGTTGTTTAGACTTCGTTGTAAACAACGCTTATGTCCAGCTATTCGGCCTTCCGTTGGGGCTTTATTTATAGTCTTGTATGATTCACCTGCAGCAATTTATCTACATATTTTTCGTTTGCAAAAAGGCCTTCAAGACTCAGATATATGAGATGTGTTCACCTTATTTTAATTCTGCATATAGTCTGTCCTACACATAATTACCACTGCTTCTCATCCATCAGCTCCACCGATTTGCAAGCCTGTAGAGCAGACATGAAGTAACCAACCAAATCATCTCGATATCAAAGTTGATGTTAACTTTTGAGTATATTTGCAGCCGGCCACTTTTTCGTCTGGTTGACACGGGTTTTCATCTGGGTCAAAGAATTCGCAGAATTTGACCTTCGAATCTCTTCTTCATGCACTTTCATACGAGAGAAAAGTCTTCCCATCAATGTTATCTTAGCAGCTTCATCGAAACCCAGTTACTCTTTGTATCTACGTCCTTATTTTGGCACATGATCCAAAGATGGAACCACACATTTGATGAAGGCATGTTGGGGGGGGGGCACAAAGAATGATCTCAAATCGTGTAAATGTATTGCTTGCACAGATTCATTGCCAAAGCGAATTGTCCCAAAAGCTCTAGCTTGTAACCAGTGCAAGTTGGCCAAGGATGTTTGCTTATTGGGGCTTTCAGCGACCGGACTGACCGGAAAAACAGAACTTACAATAAACCCATCAGGACAAGCAGCCACATGCCGGAAAATAGACCCGCGAATGCTCCTATGAAAAAGGGCAAAGAAAGAACAGTATGGCTAACGTCATGCGAGTAGTTGAGTTCGCCAGGCAAATCGGTACAGTTAACTAAATCTACGCTATTGGTTCAGCTCGAGCGATAAGTCGTTACTTACCAGAGTTTTGGTGGGAGATGTTGTGAATTTTGAGTAGGTGTGTCTGTGTCTGCATGCCAGAAGTCGACAGACGCAGGGAGTTGCCTGGATTTTTTGTTGAACCAATATGAAAGTTTATCGTGGAATGAGACTTGACCCATTGCGAAAATTTGCCGTAGTACGGGTCGCACTTACCAACTTTGGGATACATCCAACTAGGTAGACGAAAAGATGAAAAATGAATTAAACCCAATATCCCAGTTGCTAGGAAAGTGTAGGGAAATGGTGCAGTGTACATCACAGGTACCTGAAAAGATTTCTCAATCCATTTTCACACAACCAATTGTTGTGCTTTTGCCATGTTGCTGATTGCCACTGGAAGACTGGCTTCATCCTCGATGATGACAAAGTTGGTTCAGGCAGACGAGCCACCGGCTTTTGAAGAAGCTTTTAACTTTAATTTCGTGAGGCTGGAGAACTCTGTGGTTCAATCTTGCTAGAATATGACGGCAAAGTCCGCTTGATCTGATGTAGTTGGAGCCTTCTGGGACGCTCAGACTGATTAAGTCCTTGAAATATCCTCCTTCTCTGCCAATTTCGTCACTTATGCCACCTGAAGGACATCATTAGACCCACATATATTTCTTTGAAGTTTACAGCGCAATGCGAATCGGTTACGGGTCTGATGATGCTGTTGATATGACAGAATGCCCAAAGGATCAACACTTTATTCACATGAGCCGAAGGAGGAGTCCTAGTGGAATGCGGTATCCTGAAGCTTGCAGGCAAATCGGGTAACTACAGGCGAGGCGATGTGTTACGTCATCTTGTGGTGGGATCCACCCATACATCTCTTCATCACACACACTCACACGAAATGGAAATCAGCTGAATCTTCGGCTACGAACAGAAGGAAAATTTAGAGTAGTTCAACTGTTGTACCATACCAGCATCTTCGCCGGAGAGTGGTTGAGACCTCGGCGAACGGAAACAGATCACAAATTTTCCAAAAATGAAAGTTGCCTGAAGATTTAGCAGCTTAAAGCAATATGAGATGTATTCACCCTATTTCGTTTAAGGTGATGAAGGACTGGTAGTTGAATTTCCCCACAATGATATAAGTAGGGCTGACTTTTCCTTTAAATTTCACATATTCTTGTTTTCCTAAAAGTTGTTCTCATCCAGGATAGGCTGCAGTTTCGACTTCTCATAGGTCTTATCAACACCCCCAGCGCGAGTCGAACCGTGACTCCCGGGGAATCGGAAACTGAAAGTGAAGACTCCCTAAACGTTTTCTCGTCCCTTCCAGGTCCACGAGATTCGAAGCATGGTCATATGCATATATTAGCAACATGTTGCACCCCGTCCCACAGTCTCGGGAGCCGGCGGGTCGCAGAGTAAGCTAGACCTTTCAAAATCGCATATTTTTTGGGGTTGTCGGGGATACAAATATGTATTTGACATTACTTTTTACCGCGTTACTTATATTCCACGAGATTATACTTCGCAACAAACATAGATGGAATAAAATCTCCTTCCA